TACAGAAATATCCTGTCTTGGGTTGGGGAAAGTGGCATCAAAGAGCTTAAAGATGGCCATGAGTTATTAAGAAGAGGTTTTTAGAACCAGAATCTGTTCCAATTACTAACAAAATAAATTATACTAATTATGGAGGGCTTAATGCTATTTTTATTCATATTTTAAATTACATTTATTTGGTGGGGTGCAGGTGTGTATACCACAATGAACACACGGAGGTCAGAGTCCAACTTGAAAAGAATCTGTTATTTTTTTCATTAATATGGGTTCCAGGAATTTAAATAATGTAAGACTTCGTAGCAAATGCCATTTCCCACGGAGTCATGCTGCTGGTTCCTCAATGCTGTTTAATAAATTGAAAATGCTAGTCACCTAGGAAAAAATCATGTTGGGAATTTTGCCATTAAGCCTTTCTATTTCTTACTGGGTCTATTTTATTCAGTAAGTCTTTATGATGTGAGATAATGTTCTTGTAAATTGTAAACATTTGTCACTCATATTGGCTTAATAAAACACTTATTTGTCAGTAGCCAGACAAGAAGTATAGGCATGGCTACCAGACTAGAATTCTGGTAAGAGGAAGGCAGAGATGCAGTCGCCAGTCAGAGGCAGAGGAAGTAAGATGAGAATGCCTTACTGAGACAAGGTCTCATGCCAATAGATAAGAATTGTGGGTTAATTTAAATTGTAAGAGCTTGTTAGTAATAAGCCTAAACAATGGGCCAAACATCTTATAATTAATATAAGCCTCTCTGTGTTTATTTGGGACTGAACAGCTGAAGGACCAAGTCGGACAGAAACTTCAATCTACATTTTTAGTCCTCTAAGCTCTTTCCACTTTTGTTCTATGGCAGTGCTATCTTTCTATGCCATTGCTATTTCTTCATGGGGCAGAGGAGGATACAGTCTGTGATCTGCACCAAAATGTCTGGTATGCTTGCAATACTTGGCTTTATGAAGTTCTTGAGGATGACCATGTGAATTTAGATTTCATTCCCCAATATGTCAACCCTGGATTTCAGCTATTTGAAAGCTTCTACAATGAGTCATTTATTCATCCATATGGGTTAAAGGGTAGTGTCGTGGGCATGACTGGCTCTGAGATCACAGGCATTGCCCTTGAACAGGAAGTACCAAGGTGGAAGAACACTGTCTGGCTCAAGATGAATGCTCACTCTCCTGAACCATCTGGGTATGCATGTGTTTTCTTTTTCAATTTTTTCCCAAGAGGATTCAATATTAGCTAAAAATGTTTAATTTGGGAGAAATTAATACAGGAGAACAGTGCATAAGTCATACAAGATTAATGACTTCTCAAGAGCTGGTGAACACACAGCAACAGGTATAAATGAGGAGATCTCAGCATAGTGTATCTTTCTCTCTCTCTCTCTCTCTCTCTCTCTCTCTCTCTCTCTCTAGTGTGTGTGTGTGTGTGTGTGTGTGTGTGTGTGTGTGTGTGTTTTAATGTGGGGGAAGCAATATTCCCTACATCAAATATACCAATGAGGAGCACACAAGAAGCAAATACAAGAGTCATGGGAAAGTTTCTGTAAACCCAGCCTGCAATGATGAAAAGTGGAGTTAACATTGGCAGTGCTAAACTGGGTGCAAGGGCTTCTGTCTGTAACTCCAGCACTCTGGAGACTAAGGAAAGATGAGTGCTTCTGGCTTAATGTCAATCTGGGCTACACAATGAGTTCTAAGCCAGACCTGCCTGTGGAGTAAGACTAAATCTCAAAATAAATAAATAAATAAATAAATAAATAAATAAATAAATAAATAAATAAATAAATAAATAAATAAATAAATAAATAAATAAATAAATAAATAAATAAATAAATAAATAAATAAATAAATAAATAAATAAATAAATAAATAAATAAATAAATAAATGGAAGTGTACCCTTGACTAAACATTCATTCAAGACTCACTGTTATAGTTTTCAAACATGATTTTTACTTTCTCAGTAATGAAAACTCTTCAGTGTCTCGATTTCAAGAAGTCTGTTCTACTCTATCAAAATCAATTTCAGAATTTTAGCAATTTCATTCTAAATAAAAAGTGTATTTCTTACAAAAGATTGTTAATCCATATAGTCAGAAACTCATTCAGAAGTGTAAAGTATTGACACCAGATTGCCAGGAAGTGGCTGAGTCAGAAAAGCACTTGGAAGTGCAAGGGATTGATATGATTTCTGAAGCAGGCAGTGAGTCCTAAAGAGGAAACTACAAAATAACACTATGGTTTCTCTTCTGAGTTACTAGTTCTCAATTCCAATAAAAAAGCCCAGCTAAAGAGTAAGGGATCATTGAGCAGGAATAAATTCAGGAAGATAAAGGCTTTCTTTTGACAAAAAAAAAGAATTTAAAGTAAAAGATCTATTTGACAGGAGAACCAATTAGTCTGTTTAACACACTGAAATATGCTATTAGATTTTTTAAAGGCAAATATGGAAGAATAGGCTTAAAAGAAATAAAAATAGAGGTTTTGTGTTTGACTTAGAAGTACCACTGTCCTTTCCTGGACCTCATCGGAATTTAATCTGACTTCCAAGTAAAGAGAACCTAAAGGGACTCTTGACACACCAGACTGGTTTGTCAAATCTGTGTATATTTTTAGCCTGTATTAGTTAGTCTCATTTCTTCTAACAAGTGTACTTTAAACTGCATAAGCAGATCAACAAAATTGAGATGAAAGATGTAGAATGTTGTTTATTTCCTGATCTCAACATCAAAAGAATTAAAATAAGAAAATCATTCTCAGGTACCCTGTACACATGTGTGCATGGACAGATACACATATACACACATGCACATATATACACCTGCACACATATACAAATACACACATGCACATATATACATATACACACATGCACATATACACACACATGAATATATGTATATGAATGTACACAAAAACATTCACACAGAGATGTATCTGGGCATAGTCTGCCTACTGCAAATGTCACATGGTCAAGACGGTTCACAGGAGTGTGGTGGCCATGCAGGGAAGGCACCACAGACTCTTGGGCTATTCTAGGATAAGTGTGATACCCAGACCCACATTTCACTTGTGGACTATGTTCCCTTGAGTTACAACAGCCAAATTCTAAAAGAATTATCACTATAGGGTATATTTAGTAAAATATATTTCAAATAAGTTTTTTTCTCCTGAAGAAAATATTACCTTCCTTTCTTTTTATTTAAAATCTAGAATAAAATTTATTTATTCTATGTGTTTTTCACGTGTATCTTAATCCCATTCATTCCCTGTTCCTTTGCATCTGCCCCCCATCCCTACATTCCCCTGCCCCCAAATTAAACAAAATACCAAGAGATAAAAATGAAGAAAATAAAAAAATAAAAATTTAAGGAATTAAAAATCTCTTCATGAAAGCTGTAGTATACCACAAGTCATGCTGTATACTCCTTTGTCCACACATCTCCAATTGCAAGTGTTCATTGCAAAGAGTCACTGGTCTGGTTTGAGGCTGCTGGACTCCACTACATATTAGATGCTGGGCTCTCACTAGGACTCTTCCTGGACAGACAGCAGGTGCCCTGTGTTCTGGAGATCCTGCAGCTTTTGGTCTGTGGGTCCCTTCAAGTGTTCTAGGAGATCATAGAAGTGGTGGATGTTGGGGCAGACCACATCAAAACCCTGGGTCTGGGCCTGGGCAGCCATAGGGTTGGTCTGCCAAATGAGAAATGGGGACAGCTTTCCCAAATACTAAGGAATGTAAATCTTAATAGTTACAAGTAGCTGCTTAAAATTGACACAAAGGCCATCAACAGGGAAAAACTTAAGGGAATAAGTTACCCTTAGTTATTTATATAATTTGTTATTTTTTAATCTATCTATATCATTTTTTTCCATTCAAGACCAGGCAAAATGCTATATTTAGTAATTTCCTTCCACATTTTTCTTGATGCTTTGGTAATTTACCTTTACAAATTTATCCAAATAATACAGTTTTATCATAGCATACCAAATAATGCAGCCCAGCTTATACTTCCACCAATTTGGCTTATTGAAGAAGAAGGTTAAAGGTTAAGGTCATCTTGGAGTATATTGTTCTAAGTCAGGGGTATGGGAAATAGAATGGTGGGAAGTCATTCATAATCTTGGAGGTGAAAAGGTGACTCAGTAGTTCAGAGCAATTGCTATTCTTTGAGAAGAGCCAAGTTCAGTTTCTAGCACCATGCTGGGAAATTCACAAGTGCCTGTAACTCCAGCTCCAGAGGCTACAATGCCCAATTCTGGCCTCCAAGGACATTTGTATAAACTCCCTCCCTCTCTCTCTCTTTCTCTCTCTTTCTCTCTCTCTCTCTCTCTGTGTGTGTGTGTGTGTGTGTGTGTGTGTGTCTGTCTCTCTCTCTCTCTCTCTCTCTCTCTCTCTCTCTCTCTCTCTCTCTCTCTCTCTCTCTCTCTCTCTCTCTCTCTCTCTCTCTCTCTCTCTCTCTCTCTCTCTCTCTCTCTCTCTCTCTCTCTCTCTCTGTGTGTGTGTGTGTGTGTGTGTGTGTGTGTGAGAGAGAGAGAGAGAGAGAGAGAGAGAGACAGACACACACACACACACACACACACACACACACACACACACGAAAGAGATTGAGTGACAGAGCATAAAACAAAAGTTTAAAAGCTATTTCTAAAGTCAAGAAAGAAACTGAGTGAAACAAACACAGTAGGACTGTACTAATTTTGATTTTCAGCTACATCCTTGTCAGTTCAGTCATATTATTACATTTTTACTTTGCAGAAATCTCTGAAGCACATTGATGTACTCATGTTTGATTCTTTCTGTGTCATCACACAAAGGTTAGTATACTTGATAATCAAATGTATACCACCCTTCCTACATTATGGTTGAAAGAGGTAATTAGGAAATCTGCTAAGTCTAATGGCACTTAGCATAATACACAGCACTCAAACGGTATAGTAAGAACACAGAAATCCTCTAGCAATTGATGCTTGCCCTAGATCATCATGAAGTTACAAAAAAAAAGGAACTTTGTAAGAATTTGGACATCCATAGTATAGTTCCTCCTACCAAAATAAGTAAAACTGAACAGCAGCATTTGTATCTGCTACAGACTAATCATACCAATGCTTGGGCTGCATGTATTTTTAGATGACAATGGCCAGATAAATCCTGTCAAAGTGCTTAATTCATGTGAAATTTCTGTTAAAATGTAGGTAATGTCTCCCTTCCTGAGTTATTCCAAAAATCAAATGGAATGAGCTATAATTGTAGAGCTATGCAAGTGTCTGACCAACTAAGGATCTCTGCTCATGTGAGTTTCTTCTTTCTAAATTGCTTAAGTGTGGGGGCCACACTGCCCATGTTCACACCACTTCAGCCAAAGAAAGAGAAATCACAATTACACATTGATATCTTGTTGGTCACATTACTTCTCCTCCACTCTGTCTGCACCCACAGCATGAGACCAAGTATGAAAGATGTATCGTTCTCTCTCTCTCTCTCTCTCTCTCTCTCTCTCTCTCTCTCTCTCTCTTCCCTCTCTCTCTCTCTCTCCCAATCCCACCAGCCATGGAGCCATAACTACTCAACCACCTTTCTCTACAATCTACAGGTTAGACAAGAGTGGGAAAAAGGAAGAGAAAGGAAACAAGACAGAAGGACATGAAGTGGGTAAGAAAACATGAATTCCTGGAGACACCCTATCTGCTTAGCCTAAAAGAGTAGCTCTAACCCTGAGCACCATGCCACAGGAACTGAGTTTATGAAGGCTAAAAGGGTCGACTGTGGTATCATTTCTCACCTTTACCTACTGATCCATCTCCTCAGAGTGTGGGATGGACCAGCTCACAGTACAATGAGTGATCACTATAATGCAGTAATAATGAATGAATAAGCCCATTCAGATATCAGGGTCATATGGATCTTAACAAGGGAGAGTGAGTGGACATCTTATCAATATGTCGCAAACTCTCTCTCTTCTCCATATACATATGTGTGTGTGTGTGTGTGTGTGTGTGTGTGCATGTTTGTGTGTGTACATCTTGTTTAATCATTTAATTCATTTTCTCATTTTATATTCATGTTTGCCTCTAGAAAGCATTAAAAACTCAATGGTATTTCCTGAACCCCTTTCAACTCAATGTTCAGAATCTTACATTTTCAAGTTTTAACTTCTCCCACATTCAATACATTTCAAAAAATATCACCTTTGGCTTGCCATTAATCTTACAATGTCTCAAAACAAATATGAGATTTTTCTTCTATACCCAATCATTGTAAATGGCACCAGAATTTACTCAGATAACCAGGCAAGCAATGCGATGATGGTGGCAATCTTCTGCCTACATACATCACAAGCTTCCCAATGTCTCTATAACATTGTAGTTCTACAGCAAGCCAGCATTCCCTTTAGTAGTCTACTTCTTTGCTCCTACACTCTCATCACTTCACTCTTGACCCAACTGAGTATCATATTCCTCCCCTCCTCCAGTCTGGGATGACCTCCTTAAATTTCATTATCTAAAAGCCTACATTTAAAACAGAATTCCACATATGTAATACAGTAGTACCTTGCCATGTATGCTCACTTTTGTGAATAGACATATCTCCCTAATTAGAATACTAAACAAGCTCTTGTCTCCACAGCTTCCATGTATGCTTAGCATGTAAAAAGCACTCAATAACTGCTAGGTTTTTTAAATAACCAATATAGTGACACTGATGATACAGAACACTCATTATATAATAAATAACAGAAAAATTCTCTAAAACACTATGAGTAAAATGAGGTCTGATGTTTCCAGAGGGAGTCCTGCAGGAGAAAGTTTTGGAAGGCTTTCCCCAGCCTTTGAAGTTACACAGTCATGATTATGTAGGACAACTCTTTTATCTCGCTTTGCTGGCAAATTTTCCAGAAACCAGAGGAGCTTTCTGCTTACCTGCATGTACCAATCAAGCAGTCAAGCTAAAGAGACACACGCACACACATAAAATACATCTTATTAAGCAAAAGAACTTAGAATCCATACCTTCACGAGAAGAATGCACATATATGTGTGGGTATACATACCTGTTCTTTTTTGAATGATGACCAGAAGAGGACATCAGTTATCCTCTCTAGCCCTCTGCCTTATTCTTTGAAATGGGGTCTCTCAAATGAACCTGGAACTAGGCTGGTGAACAGCAAGTCCAACCTCCTGTGTGTGCCTCCCACTGGACTTAGAGGCATGCAGACAGCCATGCCCAGTTTTTTATGTGGGTGCTAGCACCTAAACCCAGGGTCTTTTGTTTACATGGTAAATGCTGCTACCCACCGAGTCATCTCGCTAGTCCCAAGATATTTTCCTCTTAGTCTGTATTTTCTGAATTCTGTGAAGTCCCAGGTCATGATTGCTTCCTTCACTGCTGGACTCAGTAACCAAGACACAGCCCACAAACTGGCCTATAGTATCTGCTCCATAAATATTTAAAATATAAAATGTTTGGGTTCATTAACAAAAATTTAGTTCTACATTTCACTATAGAGTACTTCCAGTGAAAATTCCATCAGTTTGTGAATATATAATCCCTAATAACTGTATTGTCCTAACTTTTGGTATATGTTTGTCTTGCTGTCTCTTGTTGATGGCCTACAGATCTGCTAATTCTTCAGTCTCAGAGTTGAATCAAGCAAATATTTGGAGGTAATGGATTTCCTCAGCAAGGGATCGGGCTAATTTTAAGAGTGTAGGTGAGTTTCATCTTGAGCCTTTGAAGAATGTCTGAAATCACTAGAGGTTGAGTACATCACTGAGAGGAGCCCTGTAAAATATATAAAGCCTAGGAATACAAGTTCAGTTTCACTGTATGTGTGAGAATCAGATGCACAAGGAGGAAGTGAGTATTTTATATAAGAACAGAAATCAGGAGCTACCTTACCTGAACAGAAATCATCAGAGTATCGATCATACACAGCTCTACAGTCCCTCTCATCGCACTCGCACGTGTCCCCATGGATATCTCCCCAGTCCCCAGTGGGATCAACATCGTGGCAAGAACATTCACCACAAACACATGTTCCTAGATGGGAAAAAAATGAATATCATGGGGGTCCAGACAAAGTACTTAAAATACTGATTCTTTTTTATTTCAAAAATAAATATATTTAGATAAAATATTCTAAGGGAAACACCATCTAAAGTTGATGGCAGAGATTTCCTGATGAGTAAAAGTTATCTATAATTATATGAGATTATTTGATATCCCATTAGCATTGTGTTAATTTCTCTCAAAGTTAATATTAAAACAATATATCATCTTTGTCTGAAAGAAACTTAGAAAAAATTTACAAAAAAAAAAGTGAAGGCAAAGGTAACAGAAGAACTAGAAAACTCAAAAATGATCACAAACATTTTGTGAAGATGTAGTGACTTAAGAGTTTGAGAAGTGTTATGTGAATGGAGAGTTAGGAGTAGACTATGTGGATATACCCAGGAGGGGAAATGCTTTAGCCAAGAAGAGGAATCTAAAGAAATTGAATATGATGATTAGTCAGCATGGTAGAGTCCTAGACACCTATGAAGGAAGACTATACAAGTTTGTTAAGCCACATGAGGCTGGATTAGAGAAGGTGCTTGAGACAGAACTGAGAGGTGTGACCACATAGGTGGGGGATTTTATGTTGGAAAGTGATTCATTATCAACCTCCACAGCAAAGGAAAAAGTTCAGGTATTTGCAACAAACAAACAAACAAAAGAAACCACTCAAACTCTGCTGGTGATATGGCTCAGTGTGAAAAGGCATATGTGGCCATGCCTGACCCTTGATTCAAATTGCAGGGCCCACATGGTAGAAGAGAACTGGCTGTCTCAAGTTATTCTCTGACCTTCACAGGAATGCCATGACAAATGTAAGTTCACGCACATATATACACAGCCACACAAAATACATAAATGAATTTTTTTAAAAACTTTGGTTTTATACCAGTAGCTAATAACTATAAATTACATTTTATATGCAAAAGTATTTAAAATTTCTGTTTAAGGTCAGTCTACAATTCATGGAGATTTTTGATGCATGATTGATGTTATCTATTGTGTTCAATACATTTTTAGTAATGCATTCAGAAGTTAAGTTCATTTATACCAATTCTGCATTTCAGCCAAGCCTTCCTATAATCATGATTAAGACAGGGGTGTTGTCCAACTGCCCTCTATGTAATCAAACACTCATGCTCTCGATGGTTCTGTTAGTCAAGAGACTTTTAGCACAGAATCTCCAGGAATTGTCTTTTAGCTGTGCAGTACCAGTTTTGGATAGATGCCAAAGAATTTACAGTCCCCATGCTAACTACTTGCTCAGAAAAGCTTAAAGAATGACACGAAATTTATTTTTCCTTGTTTATTCAGTAAAGAACAAGAACAAAAAGATTGTCGGTGTCAATGTGGAATTCTAGGAAAGTGTTTATGGATGATGATGCTGCCACACTGAAGGAAATACATCTAGATGAGGTCTTAAGAGTGAAGAGCTTTGTTTACCACCAAGTCATGTAGTAACATGTATGAGTGACACACCTCTGTTGCTGCAGATTTTGCCATCTGGAGATGTGCATCTTCGCTTGCTTTCCCAGGGGGTGATGTCACACTGGAATTCGCATTTATCTCCATGCCAACCAGCCTCGCAGTAACAGTTTCCACAGTAACACTTCCCATGGCCTTTACCCAAAAAGAATTTTATACAGTGAGGAGAAGCAACTTTTAGAAGCAGCATTAACTTTCTTTCTCTTCAAAATCATTTCTTTTTGCCTTTGAAAATAACAAGGGCTCCCGGATTCTTGCTGAAAATAATCAACTTACATATATTTTCTCCCAGTTGATCTTATATCTGTATAATAATACAAATAAAAGCAGCAAATGTGTCTTTATTTTGGCCTACAAGGAAAATGATTAAGAATAAAGCATTTGTGAAGAAATGACAAGAATGATTATATGGAAGTCCATTACTCTAACATTTGAAGTGCACTCATCACTTGAATGTATGCAAGCCTTTTCGTGCAGATGTTTCTTGAAACAGTCACTAAATTGTTTATTTGAAATGAACTACTAAGATAGTAGCAGTGCATATTTACTTAGCTATGATTTATTCATGGCTGAAGCATTCTCCTACTGAAGAAAATATTTCATCTTTTTGTTCCACTGTGTTCCACAAGCTGTTGTGTTGTGGAAATACTATTTAGCTAGGCAAAGATGAGTTTCATTTTTGTATGCTTCAGAATATTACTTTATCTGTATAAAGGTCTGTTACTTTTGTTTATGCTGCATTTACTTAATTATGTAAACGTCTGTTGCATTTGTTTCACCTTGCCTTCCTAAGGCAAATAATTGGTCTAACAAAAAGCTAAAGGGCTCATAGGTAGCCAGAGAAAGGATAGGCAAGGCTGGCAGGTAGAGAGAATAAGTAGGAGGAGAAGTCTAGGTTCAGAAAGATCTAGAGAAGAGGAGGATACAGACAGGGAGACACCAGGGGCCAGTTACCCAGACACCCAGACACCCAGCCATGGACAAGAGGGTAAGAAAAACATATAGAGTAAAGAAAGATAAAAACCCAAGGCAAAATATAGACATACAGAAACAGGTTAAGTTTTAAAAAGCCAGAAATGAGCCTAAAATAGGCCAAGCATTCAAAACTAATAATAAGTCTCCATGTCATGATTTGGGAACTGATTGGTGGCCCAAAACAAAAAGTCTGGTACATTGTTGTGTTCCACCATGTGGAAAAATCCAAGTTAAACCAATAAAATGCAATGCATTCTTGATTTCACAAACAAACTCCCACTCTGGTATCAAAAGAATAAAAATGAGAGCTAAGGATGTGCCAAAATGCCACACTACAATGGACACCTTGCTATAACCTTCCACATTTTCATTTGTACAACTCACCAAGCCATCTGCAACAAACTGCCATCACTATACTTCCATCCTGAATGTCTCACACTCTACAAAATGCTCCAAAATAATATTTACCTTCATATTTATTTTATGTGTGTTCTCCTCTTTATAATTATCCCACTCAAACATGGATGAATGTCCTCTTCATTTTCTATTCTATACTTTCTTAATCGTAATAGGTTGCATTTTGTGAGACTCTGACAAAAGTATTTATTCTTCCATTTTGCTCTTACAGGGCCATGGAAATGTGCCTGTTTGGCTACTTTTTAATTGGTTACTGGCATATTTTTCATTTTAACATTATGATATCACTTTATTAATGAATTATAATAAATTTCCATACTTAATGTGCAAGTTCTTAGAATATTTATAAAATTCCAAAATGGGTTTGTTTAAAAATAATCATTAAGATGAGGGGTGAATTCTGAAAGGAAAACAAGTGAAGCTTTGTCTAGGGAAAAGGGGCGATAAGGTGAGCTAGGAGAGTTGAGGCAGAAGAAACTGTGGTCAGGATGTATTGTAGGAGAGAAGAATCTATTTTCAAAAAAAGACAAGAGGTTAAGTAGAAAACAAAACTCATATAAAGCTACACTTTAGCAGACATTACAAAATTAAAATGAAGGGTGAGAAAAGACATTGCATGAAAAATAATAGACCCAGAAACTGATATTGGGGTTCAAACTTCAAGCTGAAGAACAGAAAGGCAAAGTAGCAGGCCACTAGCTCTGATAGCTACCTTAGGCTGAAAGGGCTGATCCTGCTGCCCCTTAGCGTGGCTGGAGAATACTGCATCTGAATGTCTTCCTATCCTCAATGTAACCAGAGAATGAATGCATCCTTGTAGTGGCATCTGGCCTTGTTAGTGAACTTGTAGCAGTAGCCACACCCTTTGGGTGTGGTTTCCAGTGCAGACATAAGCCATTGATAAGGTAGAGGCTGCTGGCTCAAGTTCTCTTGGGGTGTGGAGAGCATCAGAATATCAGAGACTGCATCTTCTGGAGCAGGAAGACCTTGGCGGATATTTACTCTTATCTATGTAAGAGTAATAAACACCTATTTGTCATTTATCTCGGGTCTGGTGAACTAATTTAACCCCCCACCTTCACATCCTATCCTCAATGTGGCTGGATAATGAATGCTTGATACTGACTACTGAAGACCCTGCTCCCATCTTTTATACCCCTCTGTGCTGGGATTAAAGGCATGTGACCCCAGTTGCTGAGATCATCTTTGTGTGAGCTTTTGGACTGGGTGGCCTTGAACTCATAGAGATCCTTCTACCTATTAATCCTGAGTCCTAGGATTAAAAGGTGTGTACCACCACCTCCTAGCTTCTGGCTGCTGGGATTAAAGGTGTGTGCCTGATTTCTATGGCTTGTGGCTGACTTTGCTTTCTGAATCCTTAGGCAATCTTTAATAAACCATAAATAGTAAATCACCACAGGACAGCAGAAGTTTATTAAAATAAAATATAATCTTGAGGACAATGTATATCTTGTGCAACAAACAAAACTTTCTACTGTCTATGTAAACTGACAGAGGAAAATCTCTTTTTTAATGTGTAATATCAATGATAGTCTATAAAAGCCTTTCTCAACAGATTGTTTTTATGTGAATGACATATGGAGAGCTCTAGGGTTCTGAGTGGCATCACTCCCACAGAGTGTTACTGGATGCTGGCATCTGTGGTTAGAGGTGATGTACAATAAAATTCCAAACAAGTGGAAACACCAAGTAACAAACGTGAAAGTTAGCATGTCCTACTGAATTCTTTCAAGCTAACTTTTAATTTGCATATACAAGTAGGCTTTGCCTCAATGATGAATATCAAAACACATTGGTTGCAAAACATTTTCTCTTACACTTTTCTGATCATTCCCTGGAAATAAAACATCAGGATCATAAATACATAATATCTGTGGGAATTTAACTGCATTTTGAACTAAGCTCTTTTGGAGAATGTTCTAAATAGAGTCTGGCCTAGGACAGTGGCTCAAAAGAGTTTCCTTTGCTTTTGTTTTAGCCTGGTTGTACATGCAGTTGACTGGGACAAAGGTCATTCTGGTTTAAAATAAGCACATTTGGATAATACTACAAGACTTTCTGAAAGCCACACTGATGTTAAGAAATTGGCAACCTATCACATGATCATGATGGTTTCCCAAAGCTCTCTGATACCTCTGGGTTCTAGTATTCCTGATTGTGCTAGGATATGCCAGACCAGATTAAGGGAGTTTGAATCTTTTTGGAAACATCAGAAAAGGTTTTACTAGGTTAAAGTGACTCTCACTCCCTGCTCTCTACCAATATACTGTGCCAACCAAGGTCTCAAATGGACATTCTGGACAAGGGCTTGCCATGAGATAAGCAAAGGAAACTAAAGGATAGGTGGTGAGAAGTCACTCTTCTCAGGGAGCTGGAAACTCCAAGGCAGGCAGGCAGTGTGAATGGTGAAAGGTCAGAAACACAGTTCTAGTGTCAGACAGACACCAGTCTGGAGGCTATTATACAGTTGGGATGGCCCTGGGCATGTTGATCATGTTACCTATTCATACTATTTCTCTATCCATAGTAAATCTTTCAGGTATCTTAAGATATAAAATATTGCATATAAAGCATTTTATAGTCCTTAACAATAAGGAACAGACAAGAATTAATGAAATAGAAAAAAATGACAGAATGATGGTGACACAGAAAATGTCAGGGGAATATTGTCTACATGTAGGGGATGCTAAGAGGGGAGCTAAATTAGGTTAACCATCACATCATTCTCCAGTGTCTCCATTAGGGCATGGAACTATCCAAAGACTTTTGATTTAGAAAGAGAATGAAATTAACATTTAAGAGATAAGGAAAAATAAAACACACACACACACACACACACACACACACACACACACACACACACACACACACAGAGTAGCTAATGTGAACAAAAGAAATGCTGTCCTAATAGGACTACTTCAAAATATACTGCTGGCTTATTGCATCAGTAATGTTGCTCACCTCTGGGGACAATCTAGTTTTGCATTTAAACTGTTCTAGATTACTCTGAAGGCCTAGAATACAATGAAAAGTGTAAAAACCAGGGGCTTTTACTTTCCATTCTTAGTATACATACCTCCACATACCTCTTCCGTTTCATCATCTATGCATTCTCTATCATCACACTCACAAAATTTACCATAAATGAGTCCATTTCCATCTGAATTATCACACTTGCACCTGCCACAGTGACATGTACCTAAAGCAGTGAAACAATGAGAAGAATGTTACACACTAGAAATTATAATTAATGATGCTTTCCCATATTTCTTTCAAGCAGGTAGAGAAGTCAAACCAATTTAATGTTGCAATTAAACATTTCTGTGGCTATGGTGCAGTGGAGGAGAAGCTACTTATTTTTGAGATCATTGTGGCACAGAAATTATAATTTGTACTTCACAGTTATTACTGTTGACCTCCAGTAGTTTAATGAGCATCAGTTTGACTCCTTCAAAACATAGAGGTTCTAATATGTATCTTTCGAAACAAGTAGTGAGTGAATATCTTCTAACCACCTGTCACAAAGGGAATTAAAACACTTTTAAGCTTCTGACTGAAAGGAATTTTGCTTACCTTCCCCATAAGCATTTGCTCAGTGTTTTGCCTCATGTTGGGCCATAGTATTTATATAATAAATATTTAGATAAATATTAAATAATAAATGTTAATAAATGCACAAATGAAAAATGTATCTACCCTGAGAGTGTCACATCTCAGCATTAGCTGACATTATTGTTCAGAGGATGACAGGACCAGAGTGGGTTTTCTTAGACACAATCTTGAGACCTCAACAGTATCTCAAAGCATTTCTGAGAATGTAAGAGGTCCTGGAAACATTAGATCTACCACAAGCCACATACTTACTCTACCAGAGTGTTTAGTGACATCCCACAAGAGTAATCACTTTACTGAAATACAGTAATACTGTACTGAAAGTAACATTTTATCCAAACAATATTAACAAATCAGATGTCTACCTGCCCTAATAGTTTTCCACTTTGAATTAATTCTCACAGCAATTGACATATGAACGTTAAGACATAATGCATTACCAAAATGGATCTAATCTCTGGAAATTCAACAGGCAGTCAAGTCATCCATAGGAAATAAGTGTGATAACTAAATAGAGAAGTGCCAATGCTGCAAAAGCACATAGCAAAGAGATTTAGCCAAGAGCTGGAGGTCTAAGAGATGGTCCTGAGGAAGTAGCTGAGAACTGAAAGCCAAACTAAGTGAAATAAATAATAAATAATAAAACAAGACACAAAATCAAAGCCTCAGTGTTTGGAGAACAAATACAATAGGCCTGAAAAGTAACATCAAATGAACAAAATTACTAGATAGAAGCTTCAAGAAACTGTGTAGTTGATACTACCGATCTCCAACGTCTGTATTTTCACAAGGACCACAAGAAAAGACTTGCATGTGGATTAGGTGATTATTGTTGTCACATGGAACATGAACTGAAACTGTGGGAAATGGGTGCTAAAAAATGAATAATGAAGAAATAAAAGGTTACTATAGATGTTACAGGTTGGATAAATGGTGACAGAGAGTTAAGAAAATACAGGCATGTTTGAGAAGATTATTGGGAGGAAGAGTAGACAGCATTTAGTGGTCAGTTGAGTATAAAGCATGGAGGGGGTTTGAGAGAAATCAAGAATGGTCTTTGGCCTGAGTGATGGTATACTAGTTATTCTATGTATGGTAACAGGGAAGACCTTGGCTTTCCATTCAGGTACAATTACAGTCAAATACAGGTTTTAACCCAGTCTGGGTTAAGAACATTAGATTGAAGATCACTTCTACTGCTCATTCTCAGATTCCACATGTTCACATAATGTTTAGTTCACAGGATAACTGTAAGGCTGAGTGGCAAATTCAGCAGCCATTCACTTCTGAAGGCTCCGTTGTACTTGGTACACAGGAAGCTTTCAGAAAACTACAAATCTTTCCTCTTCTCTCTTTAAAACGTCAGTATGTTAGTCATAGTCCAAATATCTTTCCCAGAATCGCCTTCTGTCTTATTTTCATGCCTTCCATATACTTCTGCTACCCAGATCACCTACAATTCACTATTATCTTTAAGAGGGCCTCCTCTCACAAAATCACATATGAATAGTGATTTTTGCAGGATCTGACTGTGTTGTTTTGTACCTTGAGGGTACTCCTGTGAATCTGACATATATTAAACTCAATTCTCTTGTACTATTTTCTCTGAAACTTATTTTAACATGAATATTTCTTGAAATATGAAGATATAATTTGTGGTGCTGCTACATTTATTTTTTCTCTCATTATCACCTTTCTCTTTTTCTTTCACGTCTCTTTCTGTCTCTCTACCACCCACATATTTAGTTGTTAAGCTTTCCAGTGACCTAATATGCTATTGTCAAAGTGCTACAGGAAATAATAAAACAAAGAAAATTAAATCAAAGACCAGAAAGAAAAATGCAGGTGATACAAATGTATGCCTCCATATTTTATAAACACATAATGCACACATATGAAACCAGAAACTACATAGCAAAAAGACATTCATAATAGAGTCAAAGAATGAATGCATATGGCAGAGATGAAGAATACTGGCTAAGGATTTTAGATTATCCTCGAATACCAGGAGCCTGCCATGGTTTGGCAGCAGAGAATATCTTGGTGAGGGATGCATACACACACGTCATTTTCCCTTCAGAAAGATGGGCAGGAACTGTCACTGCCTCCAAGTTTCATGACTCCTCATTGACGTCTTCTGCTGGCAGGCTCATCCCCATCCACACATGTGAACCATTCCTCACTAGAGTGGGAAGTCTCCAACAGCTTAGAGACTTCCTGTCTCACCATCCAGCAGAATTCACATATGAGCCTCCAAGACATGGCAGATGGGAGCCCAGGCAGAAGTGCCAGACTCCTGTGTTCCTGCTGTGTCATCCTACGTCTCACTCTTGGTTGCCAGTCAATCACACTCTAGGACCGGTAGCTTTGTACTTGATTATTTTAGCCCCAGTTTTTCCTGCTGCCTAGCAAAGCTGGTTCTCTCTATGGTGACTTTCCAGCCTTGAGCACCAATCCTCCCTCTGTCCTAGGTGCTGGGGCTTCGCCTTGCTCTGCACTTCCTCACCTTTCTGGCTCCAATGTAGAGGAAGCTTCTGGAAATTTTGTTCTTGGTTCCTTCTAAACGTGTCTTTCAGTTTATGCCCCACTCTGGTTACCTCCTCTCCCTCTTCTATACTCTATATCCAAGCCCCTTCCAGAGAATCAAATTATGAGGAAAGACAAAATTACTAAGGGAGTTGTCTTAGTTAGGGTTTATATCACTGTGATGAAGCACCATTACCAAAAGTTGGAGAGGAAAGGGTTTATTTGCCTTGAACTTCCATCATCAAAGGAAGACAGGACAGGAACTGAAGCAAGGCAGGAATCTGGACACAGGAGGTAACTCAGAGGCCATGGAGGAGTGCAGCTTACTGGCTTGATCCTCATGGCTCACTAAGCCTACCTTCTTATAAAACCTTGGACCACCAGCCCAGGGATAACACTGCCTTCGATAAACTGGGACCCCCACCCATCAATCACTAATTAAGAAAATGCCTTACAGTTGGGTCTTATAGAACCATTTTCTCCCTCCATTCCAGTATGTCAAAACTAGCCATAACAGGGGAGTAATACAATTTGGAGTGGCTGGTAATGGAATAGGCTGGTGAAAAATATTATTAAATGGGAAGTTGATGAGAACAAGATTGGTAAAGCAGACCAAAAGGCTTGGGCATTAAGATAAAATGTGAAGGCAGAGATTAAATGTAAATTTGCATATAACTTTTTCTTTTGGCCCAGAAATCTCACTCTTTATATTTATTTTGATAGTAAGATCTCCAAAAGAAGTAAATTGCAAATTAGCCAAATAATGTCGTGTTATTATTAATAACCTCCAAGTAATAGAAGCTCTAGATGCCTAAGTATAGGAGACAAATTGAGCAAATGGCATTGCTTAGAAAAACTCAGTACTAAGCTGTTGAGAAAAGAATAGGAAAGATCTCAAATACTCAACTCTCATGTGGAGTTGAGTGACAGAGGCAGACTGCTAAATAGCATGGTGATCTTACTGCCTTGTATGTGAAGTATAAAAGAAAATACTAGTTCTACAGAGATAGTTCAGTGAGTAAGGATGCTTGCTCTACAAGCATGTGGGCTTGAGTTCAAATCATCATCATCTTTGTAAACAGCCTGTCAAAGCTCTGTGTGTCTGTTACCTCAGCACTGGAAGGCAGAAAAAGGTGGCCCTAGGAGCTTGCTGGACAGACAGCATAATTTCATTGATAACTTTTCCACTCAATGAAAGACCCTGTAAAGACAATAAGGCAAGATATCCAACATACTGCTCTAGACTCTATATACCTGCATAGGTATTTGCACTTGCATATTCCTATGCACATGCTGCCCCCACAAAATACTACATTAAAAACAAATACTGGGAGAGGGTATGGCACGGGAGCAGCAGAGAAAGCTCGAAGCAGCAAAGTTAATTTCTTACAAAGCTAAAACTTCCCAGATGAGAGAGATTCTCTTTTTAATAAAGACTGTGATGAATCTTTGAGTGTGCCTTCTGCATACTCTTTGGACTCCTTTGGACCTCTCTTCATACTCTATATTATAATATTAATAATAAGGGAAGAGAGGCTAGTCAAAAAAGCCTTAAAAGTAAAAGCAAACAGACGAATAAGTTCAATTGCATTTCAAATGAGCAACATGAGATTAAAAGGAAGCCAAGTAGCCTATGAATATAGCTTTGACTAGACCCTAACCTGAGGTGTGGTTAGGGTGGGCTGAGGGTGGGTAGGATTGAATAGAAACTAAGACCATTTTTGGTTTTGTAGATTTATTTTGTATAGTTACATCTATGAACAATTCTTAAAAAACAATTCCAGATATGGATAGTATAGAATTGTGAAAATAAGCAAATGCATTGCTGTTGTGAGGAGACAACACAAAGGTCAAATTAAGAACATTTCATTAAAAAAAATAAAACAGATAAATGGACAGTAGTTGTGGTGGTTTGAAAGAAAATGGTCCCCCAAAGGAATCACACTATTAAGAGGTGTAGCCTGTTTGGAGTGGGTGTAGTCTTTTTAGAGGAAGTGTGTCACTGTGGAGATGGGCTTGAGGTCTTTTATATGGTCAAGGTTAAGACCAGTGAGACAGTCTACTTCCTATTGCCTTCTGATAAATTATTTCTAAATCTTACAAAACGGTACAAATATCTTTCCACCTTATCAAATATGCTTTATTATCTTTTAAGACCATTCTGTGCCAGAATGTTAATGCACACACAAACACCTTTAATCACTGCACTTTCAATACATAGGCAGTGAATCCCAAGGAAACTGAAACTAGCCTGGTCTGTGTAGCGAGTTCCAGACCACTCAAAGAGTAAGACTGTCTCAGGGGGAAAAAGGACAATTCTGCATATTTTCTCTCTCATGTAATACTGATGTGCCAAGTCTCATTCCCTAAAATATCTTCAGATTCAATAACATTTATTTGTGTATATGTGTTTTGTGTTTGTGTTTATATGTATGTTTTATGTATATGTTTGTGAGTGCATACATGCCTGCATGTGTGTGCGAGCGTGCGCACGTGTGTGTGTGTGTGTGTGTGTGTGTGTGTGTGTGTGTGTTGGTGGGTAATTATAGTGATTGCAAAAAGACAAACATGGTATGTACTCATTCATATGTGGATTTTAGACATAGAGTAAAGAATTACCAGCCTACAATCCACACTGCCAAAGAAGCTAGTAAACAAGGAGGACCCCAAGAGAGACATACATGGTCCCCTGGAGAAGGGGAAAGGGTCAAGATCCCCTGAGCAAACTGGGAGCACTGGAAGACAGGGGAGGGAGCTAGGAGAATGAGAAGGGAAGAAAAGGAAGGATGCAGAGGACATGGGGGAGCAGAAAGGTTGAGTCAGGGGAAGAATAGATGATAACAAGAATGGATATACCATAATAGAGGGAGACATTTTAGGTTTACAGAGAAATCAGGCACTAAG